TGGAAAGATTAATGCCAAGAGGTTTGGTCAAGGACCAGCTGGTAGAAGGGATCATTGTGAATCTGAGTTGACCCAACTGTAAATGGGTCAGGACTGGAAAGATTAATGCCAAGAGGTTTGACCAAGGACCAGCTGGTAGAAGGAATCATAGTGAACCTGAGTTGACCATGCAGTAAACGGGTACAAATAATTGTGGGAAAGATCAATGCCAGGATATTTGGCCAAGGACTAGCTGGTAGAAGGAATCATAGTGAACCTGAGTTGACCATGCAGTAAATGGGTAGGGATAATTCTGGAAAGATCAATGCCAAGAGGTTTGACCAAGGACCAGCTGGTAGAAGGGATCATAGCTGTTGTTATCTTTATTACATAGTTCATTAATATTACAGTTGACCAAACTGTGAAAGGGTGCAGATAATTCTGGAAAGATCAACGCCAAGAGGTTTGACCACAGACCAGTTAGTAGAAAGGATGCTCATGAAGATTTTGTAAAAAATAGTTGTTTGCTTCTTTCTTTCTTTAGTTGAAAAATCTGAACACAAAAATTAAAGAAAAAAAAAGCATCTCATGTGAGCAGCTGGTAGTAGACTGCAATAAATATAGAGATGTACATTTTTAATCAGGAAGTGAAAATATTGCAGACGTTTTACACCATTTTGAAATGGGGTCAATTAAATCACATGTCATAATCTGTTTTTTTTTTTCAATTCTATTTCTACTTAAAGTCACATTTTCCAGGAATATAATATGTTGTAAACAACTCCTCTTCCCTTTCTTGGTAAGATTATTTTGTCTATATTAGTGCTGACACGATTTGGAAATCGAAAAAAGAGCAGGCTAACGCTGCTGTCCTGGCAAAATTTCCCCTATTGAGCACTGCATTGTGTTGTGTTGATTTAATAAGTTTAATCAGGGACAGAATAGTAGGTCCGTAAAAGTGGTTTTAGTAATCTGAAGTTTAAAAGGCTCCTCTTTGCTACATGCCATGCATGTTTAAGATCCCTTTACAGTTAGGAATTGAAAAGAGTAGTCTAATGCTGCTATCATGTCAAAATTTCCCTTATTGCACACTGCATGGTAACGCATATCTTCATTAGCCAAATCATGAACAGAAAGTAGGACCATAAAACTCAGTATAGCAATCACAACTTAAAAGGGCTCTGCATGCACGGGCTGTGCACGTTAGAGATTCCTAACGTTAAAAGATGCTGCTGGGCTGAGAAAATTCCCCTCATTTCACACTGCATGTCCAATCGAGGACCCATAAAACTCAATTTAGTTATCCAAATTCTAAAAGGAAACATCTGTTTACAAGCAGTGGGTATGCTATATTAGGACTTTGATTGTTGGTATTCGTCCACCACAAATTCTGACATAAATTGAGTTTAACAGCAATAATTTTGCTCTATTATGTTACAAGTCAGCACTGATTACCTGCCTTTTGTTAAACTTAAAATTATGTATATAAAAAAAACAGACATGATGCAGGAGCCATGTGAGCCCCAGCCTCTTCAGTTTTTTTTTTCTTCAGATTTTTCTTTCCATTTTTTTTTTTTCAAAATTTGAAATGGGGATTTTTTTATCGAAACATATTTTTAGTATATTATTATTTTTTTCTATATTGAATTTCAAACAGTAATATGTATGATATTTTTTTTCGTTGCGTATTTTTTCTGTGGTGGTCTTCACTTGCCGTCCATGATCTGACAAAATTATATAACTCCTGCTCTGGGTCATGAAAATATTAACCAATCAAATGCTCTGTTCAATAATGACTTAGATTGGAGTTTTCATTTTTAGTCAATATTTTTTTTAAATAATTTTTAATTCTGAATTATGAACTTCCCAAATTTTAAGTTTTGATTTTTGAGAGGTCACATTTTCTCATAATTTTGTTAAAGTGCACATCAAACTTTTGGTTAGATATTTTTTTCTGTAATTCATGATCTGACAAAATTTATGGAGCACCTGCTCTGGATCATGAAAATATTAACCAATCAAATGTCGTGACTATTAATGAAGAAATGTGGGGTATTCATTAATAATCTTATTCATAGCATACTTTTAAAGGCCATGCTTTGCCAATTTCTAGGGTTGATTTTGGTCTTGGATAAAACTAGAATGGCACGAATGTCTTCAAAAATACCAAAATCTTAAAATTTTACTGTCTATTTCTATATATATGTTTTCTATATATGGCAAGAGATAATAAGCTATCATTTTAAATTTCAAATGCAGATAATTCTGGACACACATGGATTTGAAGGCTCAGATTTTGACAGTGAGCTGTGAACACTATTACTGATTAGCTAAACAATTTCAATTTCTGAGACTAAGGTACGATTAGTCAAACGAATGATGGACTTGTACCTTTAAAAGTGTTTTGATTCGTTAAGATAAATTATGACAACTTTTGCATGAGTGCAATGGCACCATGAACATCAAACTAGAACGAACTTATAGTGAGTTCAGATGACTAAAGTTAAAGATAGGTTTCCTTATTTTTTAGTGTCAAATTAAGCAAACTGTTAGATTAATTGGTGTTTCTAATGAATTATCATGTATTCTAAATCATATCATTATGTTCTTATTGCATATGATAAAGGGTTTAACCAATCATAAATGTCAATGAATGTACAGTCAGGATATACACTGTCACTCATTGGAATTCTGCTGGTAATTCTCTTCTAATTTAGCTAATTATGAATTAATTATAGACATGTGAGACAAACTGGTATTTTTCCAAGTCATTAGAACACCTCTACTTTCTATTCATATAAGTAATAGAATTTTATTTTCATAAATTAAAATAAGGGAACCCATCTTTAAGGTAGCTTAACTATTAACCGTTCTTCGAGCACGGTTTTTATTAGCCGCCTGAATGCAACCGGTTAACCAAAAGCTTAGCTGCTACCTTTACTTTGACTTACTTTGGAGGTGGGTTAAAACCAGGATTGAATAGTTAAGTCAGTTTAGATTGACCGTCTGAACGAAACTGGCTACCAAGCTTGTACGCGTTCCTCTGAACAAATCTCCACCATTATTATTATTGTCATAATGCTCATGGGTAATATATTATGACCTCTGAAATTTCCCGAAATAAATGTCAAAGCTGACTTAACTTTTATACCCGCTTGAACACCAATCAAAAAACATAAACCAAGCTCAAAGAACGTTGGATAGTTAAGCTGCCTTAACTTGATGTAACAATTGGTTAGGAATTGAAGTGGCTGATTTAAGATAATTAATTTAGCATTGAATACACTGAGAATATCTTTGATTGAATATATTTATTCCAATAATTGACACTCAGTATGGACCTGTAGAATAGTTCAATATTAGTAAATTACTGTTTATCAATTCTATTTCCCTTGTGACCCTATTCAATTGTGCACAACGCTTGAGGACATTAAGCAATTTCAATTGAAGTTTGTGTTTCATTCAACTCTTCAATTGAGGAGGTCAAATCACTTCACTGCTTAAGACAGTTATAGAACGTTAAGGCAGCTCTAGGAAAATGCATCTAACGCAATTTTCGCAGTGAAAGAAGTATATATTTTTAATTTTTGCTAACCCAGGGTGGGGGTTGGGCGTGGCACCATGCCCAGATATGACATGCCACGCTAAGCATATTATCGTATGGCTAGGTCATGTATCGATACTAGACGATATCTCTCATTCCATACAAAGTGTTTTTGGTATGATCATTTATAATGATGAGATCTTAGTCAAGATTGAATTTGACGATTTTTCGATCAACGGAATTTGACTTATTGCCCTTGACTTAGTAGAAATGCCTCAAAATTTGTTGGCTTGTTAATGCGATAGAGGTGACAGTTTATGTCAGAATTTTATTAAATAATGTGTGTTTTAAATCAACAGTATCTTGCACAAATTAGATTTTTGGTATGATTTGACACAGATAGGTGACTGCCCTTGATATACTGAAAATGTATGAGGAAAGGGGGTGTATCTTGCTAGACAACCAGTTGTTGACTTTTTATATTAACCACTCCTATCAACTACATTACCAAAAATATGACAGTTATAAAGTTATAAATTAATATATATATAGAAACTTTGAAGATAAAATGTTAAATTTTAATTGACTAAAATGTTATTTTTACATGAAAATCTCGGTTTTCATCAATGAAACCATTCAAGGGATCAATGAAACTGTCCCAGTTGAGAAATTTCCATCCGGACACTTTCCCTTCATTCAGACTTATTGGAATGGATTGTGATGGGTCATTAAAATTCAGTAACGTGATGGTGTAGTTTGGAATTGTGTCATCGCGAATGGATTGCACGCCAGGCACTTCGTTGAAAATATCATTTCGAACTAGATAAAACCTTAAGGTTGAATAAAGCTTACGAATTGATAAGCTCCAACAAAAGTTTTGAAAAGTATATTGAGTCTGTAATGTAACAGATTCTGTTTTCAGATCAGGTCCAAAAATCTTCAAATTTAGTCTTTCTATAACCAATTGATTTATATATTTCACACGTCCTATCATTTGCTGTGATACACACCGATCAGAAATTTCAAATTGGACGTTTTTAATGATAGGCAACACAACCGTTTTATCCATGACAGAAAGAACATCTTTGGCTCTCTGAGTTGTTTTTATCAAATCTACAACTGAAGATTCATTTTGGATGTTTTGGATGTCAGTTTTGAGTGTGGAAGGACACAGCTTAATTTTATTGGTTTCGTCTTTGAGCTTTTTTTTACCTAAACTGACGTGATTTCTGATTTCCGCTACAACAGCTTCTCCTTGTTGACGTATTGAAGCACAAATCTCTTCAACATGGTCTGTGATTTTCTTTATTTCCTTTCCAGATTGTTCAGAAAGTTCCATCATTTTCTCATTCGCTGTTTTTATCAATCCCTTTTTTCGTTCATCCATAGTTTCTAATTTGCTTTTTATCTGCGACAATTCCTTTAAAAATATCTGTTGGGTGGCATCTTCGTCTAAATCTAACAGATTGTGTGTCTTATGTGTGGAGACACTGCATTTGGAACAAGCTACAACCTTGCAGTAAACACAAAAGAACTCAACCTCTTTCTTTGGGTGCTTTTCACAAAAATCTTTCTGGACCTCTTTAGAATTTCCAGGTAAATCTTCAGCAGCTAATTTTGTTTTTCTGGACCTTGATTTCTTAGCATATGATTCATTTTGTGAATTGATGTAAAAATTTGCACTAAATTCACCAACTCCACCAGGGGGAACTTTAACCTCTTTCCTACAAACTGGACAGTTGAATTTATTATTTTTAGATGTATTCCTGATAAAATCGTCCAAACATTTAAAACAGAAAGAATGATGACAACTGATGAGTCTGGGATTCTGGAAATTTTCTAAACAGATGCTACATTCTAACGGATTTATGTTTCCAGCAGCCATCTTAATTACCTGAAATATAAACAAAATATTAATTAAATCAATAAATCAAAAGAATCAATCAACAATAAACAAATCAATCAATCAATGATGAATTAACAAATCAATCAATCAAAAAGAAACAAATCAACAATAAACAAATCAATCAATGATGAATCAAGCAATCAAAAAGAAACCCTTCAACATATCAATCAATCAATGATGAATCAACACATCAATAAATCAAAAAGAAATAAATCAACAATAAACAAATCAATCTATTAATGATGAATCAACAAATAAACCAATCATAAAGAAAGCAATCAGCAATCAACATATCAATCAATCAATGATGAATCAACACATCAATAAATCAAAAAGAAATAAATCAACAATAAACAAATCAATCAATTAATGATGAATCAACAAATAAACCAATCATAAAGAAAGCAATCAACATATCAATCAATCAATGATGAATCAACAAATCAAGCAATCAAAAAGAAAGCAATCAACAATACACCAATCTAATAATCAATGATGAATCAACAAGTTGCAATAGGGCTTTGGTCTTCTGTTGGATTAATGAAATTGGTTGAAAGATCTCAGGGGGACCAAACATACATACATACAGTCGTCCTCAGGGAAACACGTATAAAAGCATTTACCTTTACCCACGGTTCAATATTATGCACAAAACCATAACAGCTGAAAGTGAAAGTAGAACTTCGATCGACTTTAACACGTAAAAGCCTACTAAATTGTTCATTTTATTTTCTCTTTTAAGAATTTGCCACTGTACCAATATTGTTCCGAGTAATTAAGTAATCAAATTCAATTTATATATCTTCTAAGACAGTTAGAATACTCAATATTCACTAATATTAACAGATATAAAACTGTTCCTGTTTACACTGACTGAAGAGTCTATAGTCTAGATTGCAAGGTCAAGGCCGACAGTATTTTTCAACTATGAACCTGTCTTAATTAAAGGTCGGCGCACACCAGGCCCGTAGCCAGCCAGGGGCAGTTTAGGTATCCCCCTCCCCATCCGGAAAACTTTGTGAATTGTTCGTATTAATACAGCCCTGCTCTCTATTGAGTTATTGCTATCTTTATTGCTGCCGAGGACGCCGATTGGAAACCTGGAAATACGATTTTCTTAAGCCTGGGGACCTCTAGAAATTTTTTTTTTTTAGAGAATTAGAGAGTCAATTCTCTGAAACGCGATATGTGAAGTTGCCCGAAAATCGAAATCTGTGCCCGAATTGCCTTTTTTGGTTGTGTAAAAAAAAAGTTCTAAACTCTACTTTCGGGCTGCGATTTCAATTTTTGAAATATGTAAAATATAATCGTACGAATGACATTCGGGCAGTGATTTCGATCCTTTAATAATATGAATTATGAAATATTATCAATTTAAAAAAATACAGTTATAGTATAGGATATTCGGGCCAAGATATGATTTCATTTTTAAATTCCAAAAAAAAAAAAAATAAAATCGGGCCGTTCAAAATTTTTTTTTTTAATGCCTTGCCCGAAAAACTAGCCCCCTGCCCCCCCTCCCCCCCTCCCCCCTGTGGCTCATTACGGATGCGTGCACACGAACAGTCTTTGTCGTCGATTAATTTTTCTTTTGCCAAGACACAGCGTCATCATCCAATCAGATTCATTTTTCTTTCAATTGATGATCAGTCGGTCGGTGAAACTCTCGACAAAACTCTAGTCGGCGACAAAAAACGCCGACCGTTCATGTGCTCACGCCATCAGTAGACTTTTAGTAGGTAGAACTGGTCATAAAGTAAAAAATAGTTCTTATTATATAACTCTATGGTTGTGGTTAATAATCGATATTATGATACAAGAGTTATCTTAGATGACCTTGACCTTGGAATTAACAGAAACTAAAGTGAACTCAACGAAAAGGTAGGCTAAAAGCTAAAAGTTTTATATCTCTACGAAGTATTCAAACTTTCTCAGAAGGCATATAAAACGTCTAGGCTATAATTGATTCACTACTGGAAACAACGTCAACAGTCAAGAGAACTTAAATACAACCTTATAATGATAAATTCTAAAAATAGGAAATAAAATGAGTAATCTATCATAGTGCATGAATATCCTACTTTCACTTTCAGTTTTAATGTGTTAATACAAACAATGATCTCTAAATCATGAGTTTTTGAGTTATTGCCTTTGACTGAGTAAAAACAATTTGTTTGTGAACACCTTAGAGACTACAGATTTCACCCGATTTAAATGAAATTTGGTGTAATCATCTATAACAACGAGATCGTGGTCAAGTTCGAATTTGACGATTTTTGATAAACGGCATTTGAGTTATTGCCCTTGACTTGCCTCAAAATTTGTTCATGAACACAATACAGACTACAGTTTTAACTGATTTTAATGATACACTTTAATTATGTTAAATGTGGACGTGATATGTTAGAACTTCAGGGAATACTGTGTGTTAAAATCAATAATTAGCTATCTTGGACAATTTAGATTTTTGGTTTTTGGACCCTGAATGCCCCTCTTTTACTTTCAGTTTTAATGCGTATAGAGCCTACTATTTATTTATTTATTTATTTATTTCAGGTAATTAAGATGGCTGCTAGAAACATAAATCCGTGTAGCATCTGTTTAGAAATTTTCCAGAATCCCAGACTCATCAGTTGTCATCATTCTTTCTGTTTTAAATGTTTGGACGATTTTATCAGGAATACATCTAAAAATGATAAATTCAACTGTCCAGTTTGTAGGAAAGAGGTTAAAGTTCCCCCTGGTGGAGTTGGTGAATTTAGTGCAAATTTTTACATCAATTCACAAAATGAATCATATGCTAAGAAATCAAGGTCCAGAAAAACAAAATTAGCTGCTGAAGATTTACCTGGAAATTCTAAAGAGGTCCAGAAAGATTTTTGTGAAAAGCACCCAAAGAAAGAGGTTGAGTTCTTTTGTGTTGACTGCAAGGTTGTAGCTTGTTCCAAATGTAGCTTCTCCACACATAAGACACACAATCTGTTAGATTTGGATGAAGATAACACGCGGCAGAGATTTTTAAAGGAATTGTTGCAGATAAAAAGCAAATTAGAAGCTATGGATGAACGAAATAAGGGATTGATAAAAACAGTGGATGAGAAAATGTTGGAACTTTCTGTACAATCTGAAAAGGAAATAAAGAAAGTCACAGACCATGTTGAAGAGATTTGTGCTTCTATACGTCAACAAGGAGAAGCTGTTGTAGCGGAAATCAGAAATCACGTCATTTTAAGTAAAAAAAAGCTCAAAGACGAAACCAATAACATCAAGCAATCTCCTGCTACACTCAAAACTGACATTTTAGACAAACTGAAGAGTGAATCTTCGGTTGTTAAATTGATAAATACATCTCAAAGAGCAAAAGATGTTCTTTCTGTCATGGATAAAACAATTGTGTTGCCTACCATTCAAAACGTCCAATTTGAAATTTCTGATCGGCGTGTATCACAACATATGATAGGACGTGTGAAATATACAAATCAATTGGTTATAGAAAGACAAACTTTGAATAAATATGCACCTGATTGGAATACTGAATCTGTAACAAAAGAGCAGGGGTTTTCTACTGGCAGCGCCATTGGCTTTTGTAGCGAATCAGCGCCTGTAAATCAGGGCGAAAAGAAAAAGAAAAAAAAAAATAAATCTAGGAAAAAAGTTGATTGGACATATTTACCAGAATATGATTGGTGGGAGGATACAGATCCAATCGACACCGACCTGGATTATTTATACGATTACAGTTGAGACCGTTTCCAACACATTCCTGAATTTAAGGGATGGCACGGATGGATGGAAGATGGAAATTTCTCGACTGGGACGAATTCATTTATGCCTCAAGTGGTTACATTGATGAAAGCCGAGAAGTTAATGTGAAAATAACATTTCATTAAAGTACTCCAAACAATCGCCACTTAAAGGGGCAGTTGAGCCATTTTTTGACCAATCTTTATCTGAGAAACGATATCTTTTTAGATTAGCCCATCAGTAATAGTGTGGGCTTCAAATCCATATGTGCCCAGAATTATCCGCTTATGAAAGTTAAAAGGACGAGTCGTCGTTTCTTGAGATATAGACAAGACATCTATAGTCATAATTAAAGAAATTACTAGTTTGAGATATTTTTGACAAAATTGTGAGATTTTCGTACATTTCTAGTACTTTTGAAGACTACATATTCAAGACTCAAATCCACCCCCAAAATGGCGCACCTGTCTCTTTGAAGGGCCACGTCGTAAATTATATTTAAAAATATTGTATATATATGCTATTTATATCTATGTATCTTCTTGATCAAACTGAATTCGTTTTAATAGGGTTAATTAAAAACATAGTATAGAAATGATTAATTAAGCAGCCTTAAAGATGGGTTTCCTCATTTTTTAGTGTCAAATTAAACAAAATATTGAATTATTATGTATTCTTAATCATATCATTATGTTCTTATTGCATATAATTAACTAATTACAAATGTCCATGTAAGTACAGCCTGGATAAATAAAAAGAGATTTTGACCTTTCTTGATCGGTCACTCATTGGAATTCTGCTGGTAATTTTCTTCTAATTTTAGCTAATTATGAATTAATTATGGACAATGTGAGATTAACTGGTATTTTCCAAAATCATTAGAACACCTCTACTTTCTATTCATATTAGTATTAGCATTTTCATTTTCATCAATGAAAATAAGGGAACCCATCTTTAACAAGTTTTGGCGTTGGGAATAGCTTCAGCAGGAGAATAAGTTGAAGATATATTACACTAGGCGTTTATTTTGCTTTTGTACAGATGCAATAGGCCTAAAGCATAACGAACTTTAAAAGTTTACGTAAACTTTTTAAATAGTTCTGACGTTAAATTAAACCTCCAGGGACACATGTCTCTTGATTTTAGTGTATAGTTTTCGTAACTTTGAGCAACAAATTTTTCGACCTACGAAAAAAAAATAACAAAAAAGAATGCCCCTTTAAATGCACTATAAT